CAGAAAAGGCATGCGCATATTTTTCGTTTTCGTCCATGCGTTTGTTTTCCAATTTTATTATCAGGTTATAAGTAAATAAATTATGCAGTTTTCAAAAAGTATTAGAAGCATAAGAAAAAGGTAAAATATGAAATATGCGTATTTTAAATAAAACAAACAAATATTTTAACCAAATTTTTTTACCAATACAAGTATATTTTAAGAAAACAAAATTATTTCGAAGTTTTTTCCCCCACGTGTTCCTTATTCACCTAACTACAACTACAACAAGTCTACAAAGTACAAACCCCACCCACCAAACCATCACACGTTACGATTTTCTTGCAACCCTAAAAACTATATCTATATATATTAAGTAGGGCTTTTATTTTATGTACAGATTGCCTTAATAAAAAAAAATGTTTTTATATTCCACATGAAAAATGTTAATAATTTAGTCTATTATTGCTTATACTTACATATATTTTCTGTTAAGATAGATGTTTAATTTTATCTTGAGACTATTGGTTGTTTTGATTATATAGGTAGTATACCTCGTATACAATATGATTTAGTTTTTTTTCGTATTTTAAGAATCTTGAAAAAAATTAGTTTGATTTTTTTGATGTCTTTAGTAAGAAGATGCCAAAAGATACCAAATGTGATTCTTTTCTAATACAATTATCAAAATTACTAGACAAACGTCAAAATAGATAGCTAAATTTGGTATGATACCAAACTCATCATATTTATGAAACTAGGACTTATAATTACAAAAAAAAAAGTAGTAGGACGTTGCCAAAAAGAATACAAAGTTACAAACTACAAAACGTAGTTGGAGAAAATTAAAATCACTTTTTTAAAAGAAAAAAAAAAGAATTTTCTGATACTCGTAACAATATCACAATAAACATACAGTATGTTGTTATTTAGGGAAAACTATACTAATTTTTAATCCCAGAAAAAGTTATTTTTTAAAAATACGCGACAAAGAAAAAGTATGATATTAAAAGCCACAAAAAGTAAAAATAAAATGATAAAAAATGATTTTGTGAATCGAAAAACAAAGGAAAGGAGAGGAGAAGAAGCATGTGGAGAAAGTGAAGCTTTTTGATATCTCTCCTCCGTTGTTGCTTTTAGTTTTCCCGGAGTGATTTCGCCGGCGATGGCGGTGGAATCCTTAGAGACGGAGATGGACACGGCGGTGCGTGTAGTGCACCTTGCTTCTTCTCTCTGTGTTAAAGTTCAGGACAAGCTTCGTCTTCCTTCTTCCACCAACGGTGCTCACGTTAAGTCCAAAGACGATGATTCCCCTGTCACCGTCGCAGGTTTTTGTCTCCGTCGCCGAAACCTCTCTTTTCTTTTTGCGCATCGTCTTCGTACTTGTTTGGGGATTTTGATTATACATTCGATTTTGCGTTTTTTTTTGTTTTTCTCCAGTCCTGCGATTCGAATTCCGGCTTATTGCAATTCCGAGATCTGTCTATTGTTCTGGGCTAATAGATTTTACACGAATTTGTGATATTGGCTACTGTCAATGTTTGCAGAAGAAATTTGATTTGAGCTAAAAACGAATAACCATAGCTACCTGTGTCCTTTAATCCGGTGAAGATGACACATCATTGATTATAAAATCCACATTTTTATCTTGAATTAATCTTGTTTAATGCTTATCATTATATTAAATAATCGTGCAATTTCTTATACAATTGATCAGGTTTGAACAAATGAATTAGTAGTTTATTAGTGTTAAACCAGTGACAGGTTGTCCATTGTTGCTTTGATTTGGTTTCCTGCTACATACATTGCTAAGTACTCTCCATTGTTTTCAAGATTGCAATTCTTGAAAATGTATGTTAGTGTACAAAATACTTTTTGCATTTTAGTGATTTTAGGCTTTGTTGCAGATTGGGGTGTTCAAGCAATTGTGAGCTGGGTTTTAGCTGAAGTTTTTGGTGGTCAAAACCTTTCGATTGTCGCTGAAGAGGACACCGAGGCTCTCTCCAAGGCTGATTCATTGGGTCTTTTGGGAGCTGTCTCGAATGCAGTCAATGAAGCCTTGTCTGAAGCTCCTAAATACGGGCTTCCAAAACCAGATAAGCCCTTGGGATCAACTGAAATTCTAAAGGCGATCGGTCGATGCAGTTCCGTTGGAGGACCAAAGGGAAGGCACTGGGTGCTTGATCCGGTTGATGGAACGTTAGGATTTGTTCGTGGGGATCAGTACGCTGTTGCTTTAGCTCTGATAGAGAACGGTAAACTCCTTTTGGGGGTACTAGGTTGTCCTAATTATCCAGTTAAGAAAGAATGCCTGAGTAACGGTTGCAACCAAACCGTGGCAAAATCTGTACCTGGGGACGTATCGAAAGGGTGTGTCATGTATGCAAAGAGAGGAAGTGGTCAAGCGTGGATGCAACCGCTAATTGCAGGAGGAATCCCAGAATCTGCAACGCTCCTTAAAGTTTCCTCTGTCAATGATCCTGTTCTAGCTACCGTTTGTGAGCCAGTGGAGCGAGCAAACTCAAATCACTTGTTCACTGCAGGACTTGCCAATAGCATGGGAGTTAGGTAACCAATTTTGTTTATTTACTTCTTTTTTTGTCAAAAGTCTCTTACTACATTTTCTACTAATCTTTGTTCCTTTTCACTCTGCAGAAAACAGCCCATGCGAGTGTATAGCATGGTGAAATATGCAGCGATTGCGCGTGGAGATGCTGAAGTGTTTATGAAGTTTGCACAGTCGAGTTACAAAGAGAAGATATGGGATCACGCAGCTGGAGTAGTCATTGTGGAAGAAGCGGGTGGTGTGGTGACTGATGCGGGAGGAAGAAACTTAGACTTCTCAAAAGGAGTTTACTTGGAAGGTCTAGACCGAGGAATCATAGCGTGTTCTGGTCAAGTTTTGCATGAGAAGATCATAGGTGCGGTTTATGCTAGTTGGGAATCTTCCAGTCTCTGAAAAGCTTATGCACAATGCTCATTTGGTGCAGCACCATCAAGCCAATGTTTTAAAGCAAAGGTAAAGAAGAAACAAATTGTCTCCTTTATTTACCTCTTTTCAAGATACGGAGCATATTCCCTTTGATTAGCTCTAGTGGTTGATTACATCATTAATTCCATTGGTAATTATTTTGCAATTTGTAGATTACTGCATAAGTTTGGGAACTTCAGTGTTCATCTATAGATTAGACTAAGGGTTACCCAATCCGGTTTTCGATTTATCGAAATATAGAAACAAAATCGAAATCAGAAACTATTTGGTTTGATTTTTAAATAGATGAACCACACAATGCGCTGTTTTTAATCGGTTTATTTTCTTCGAATTTCGGATATAGGTCAGGGGAATAAGGGCCAAATGGAAATGGTGCGGATGAATGTGAATCATGGAGAAGTAAATAGTAAAGGAAGCAGCGGTTAAAGTAATA